TTAAGTTTCACTTTTTACTTTTTTTGTATAATCAAATCTAAACTTATTTAGACTTGCATTGTCAAGTTTCAGTACACATAAATAAAAATGATATTCCAGGTACGATGTATTTTGCATTGAGTATTAAGCGACCCTGTCGGCGAAAATTTGAAACTTTAGCAGTTCAGTGTAAAACTGTTTTACAAACGTTAAGTTTCAGTGTGAATTTTTTTTTTTTTTTTATAATTTTGTTTTGTGAATTTAAACAATATTCTATTTAAACAAAATCTCAATAAATAGCAATAGTTTAAGAATATTCGTACCAAATATTTATTTGTTAATAAATAAACTAGTTTAAACTTACAAGTTTTTAGGCTTTAGTAGTTTGCCTTATTAACTTAATAATATGCCTTAACAAATAAGAATTTTCAAATTAAGAAAAAAAGTAAAGAAATTCACACTATTTTTACAAGTTATTAAATATTAAGTTCTTATTTATTAAAAATTAAGTTCTTTTCGGTATAAATTTCGTTACGATTAGTGAATTCATGTTAAAACAAAAAAAAAAAAAGTAGGGTTAATTAATTTTTTTACGCGCGGAAACCCAAAACAACATGGATGCCAAACATGAAAATGGAGGGAATTTTCGGTGAGTGCTAAAACATTTATAATCAAAAAATGATTTTAAAAAGGAAAAATATTGAATCTAAAACTCTTATCGACGACCTTTTATACATTCCAAATTGTTTTTTGTTACTTTGTATGTTCAAACAAAAGTCGTTATTGTAATTATGGGCAAAACAAACGCACCCACTCATAAATCAAAAAAAACGATTTTTTTTATATTCGTTTAGCCATAACAAATAATAATAATAATAATAATAATAATAATAATACATGGTCATGATGATTAATTAATCTTAGTATTAGCTACATGTATAAACATGTGTGTGTGTTTTTTTTTTATTATCAAAATCACATCAGAAAAAAAAACTATATAATAAAAATCAAACGGTTTTAATCTCACGTTCTAGTAAAAAAAAAAAAAAAAAAAATGTGCAGTGATCAAAGGTAAAAACAATTTTTTTTTTTTTAATATCCTAATAAAAAGTATTAAAATTTATTATTAGTAATTAAAATATTCATAAGATTTAAGAAATCTGAGTACACTAGTATTATATTATTTGTGAGTCATAAGAGACTTTTTAAAAATGAAAAAAAAAAAAAATCTACTTGAAATAATAAATAAAAAAAAAAAAAAAAATTTTATTGGAAAAAAGACCCCGGGGACAAAAAAAATTAAAAAGTATAACTTATTTTAAACTTTTACCACTTATTTTTTATAGGGGTGACT